ACCAGGGTGATTCTGGCAGTCCTATTGTACAGTACGTTAATGGAGTGGCTGTTGTAATCGGCATCACTGCCGCCGGTGATCTAGAGAGAGAGAGAGAGAGAATTTACGCATATAAAATTTATGTAAAATATATTTGTTTATTTACATTTGGCTGAATTTCTAGTTCATTATAATATAATGAATATAAATAACAACAATTATCAAATAATACAAGATTTGGTAAATTTATATGACATATCATACATACTTTACATGTGGCCGAACCGGACGGGAATGGTATGCGTCGGGCGTAAAGCGCGGCGTTTCGTTGCAAAGTATGGTTGGGATCATTGCGTGCTCTCTCAATGCGAGCAAAACCAATGCGTTGTACACCAGAACCGGTGCCGTTATCGTCGGCGGCACCGAAACCATTCAATATTACGTACTCTTTGTCTTCATTCACGACCCACTCTTCGGGCAAACAAATGGCGTTAATTCCGGTCACACCTGACGTCCCGTCCAATGGTATAGCAGTGTTGAGTCGGATTAGCCCCAAGTCAAAGGGTTGCCACTGATTGAGTGCATACTCCGGAGTAATGAAATACTGACCGCCCGTATAGTATGTATAGTTTGCAATGCTTTGGTTCGTTAGCCCCGGATATACACGAATGTCAGTCATCGTACAGTTTGGGCCACAACTGAGATATAAATAAATTTGTTATAATATGTTGAATAATAAGGTATTTTTATTATATTTGAATAATACTTACTATAATGAATGCGCACACGTTAGTATCCATCGTTCATTCAATATTACACCACTCGAGCTGAGAGAGAGAGAGAGAGAGAGAGAGAGAGAGAGATTGTAATTGCAACTTGTTGAAATAATTGTTATTTAAAATATAATGTAATAGTAAATATATCAAACCCGCCAAGATTATTTGTGATATACACAGTCCACGGCATCTCTCCGGTCTGGACTACCCGCCCGTTTTGAATGCTGGCAAACATTGTATCACTATTTGGATGGTATGTAAAGCAAGTGTTGTCCCTAAGCATCCCTTTCCTGCCGACTCCACAGCCGGCAGTCGTTATATTCTCATAGAAATGAATTCTCGCGTGACTTCCGTTATAGCCATCAGTCCATAGACTTAACGCTGGAATTAATGTTCAGTTCAATGCAAACATTTGTTAAATAATTAAAAATATTACTTACTTATAATTAACCCAATAATCATTATAATAGTTAATGAATACATTTGTTTAAAATTAGTATAATTTATTAATTCAAATACTGTAATATATTAAATATTGAAGTTTATTATTTTGTTTAAAATAAAATTATAACATAATTGTCAATAAAATTATATACAATATTATAAAATCACAAGTTTTAAAATTTGATAGAGTATTATATTGCAAGATGTTTAGGGATTCTTAATAATTAATATTATATTATTTTACAAAAATATTTGTCTCAAATTAATCACAAATTTAAGTTAATTTAATTTAATTTATTAAATATTATAACAATGATAAAAATGTAACAAATATTATATTACAATCAGGAAAAGTCAGATAATTTATTAACAATTAATTATGAATATGAATATACAATAAGATCATTGCGTTTAAAGTAGGCCTGGCCAACCTTTTTTAGCATATCACAGATACAGATTCACAGTGTGCCATAAAAAGGTGGCGCAACGGTCAGTAAAAAAAGTTTAGGTTTGTCAGTATTAAACAAGAAACACCGCGTGATGGTCAACCTAATAGTTTGTCATCCATTTTTATAGTGGTTGGTTGTGTTTTGTCAAGTTTATGTAAAAGTATAAATAATTAATACCAAGATTTTAATTATTATTTTCATTTGAATTTTGATTTCAAGTATTGGTGAAATAAATTCACATTTATTTTAAGCTATAAATTACTTATTGTAACCCATATTCTCACACAAACTCTGCCGACAAACACATTCATACTGTAAACACAATCCCAGAATAAACTGGACATCGAGTGACCCAATTGTCACCCTATTTAAAGCCCACTCTATATCACACATTCATGCAGTCATCCAAAATGTAGTCTAAATAAGACTTTCACACTATTTGTGTGTTTTCAATAAATTCAATAAATTGTAACTTTTTTTTATAAATTGTGTTTTAAATAAAATTAATTAAAAGTTAAAAATAAAACGACTTATTCTTTACATTTATAATATTTCTAACCCATCTCACCCCCAGTATATCCATATATGAATTGAAAAATTATTTATTTATCTTAATGTTTTAATGTGTGTATAATAGGTTCATTTATTTGAATGATTAATAATTTTTAATCCAAACGTTGAAACATAATTTTAATGTTGTGTATGACAATTGGCTTTTCTACTCCAAGTCTCTAATAGAGACTTGGTTGACCAGGAGTAGTTTAAAGCAATCAATAAAAAATAAAATAATTTCATAGAAAGACAAACACATTAAACACAAACAGAGGGCGCGATCTGTGGACCGACCGTTGGGTGAAGTACTAGCCGTCTGACCACTCCATCAGCATTTATCACGACATTCATTACACCCGATATCATGAGCTCATCGACGGCCCGATACAAGTCGTCCAGCGATCGCACATCTGATCCATTGATGGCAGTAATCACGTCATACTTCCGGACACCGGTATTAGTCCTG